TCTCTGTGGCTGGTGGTCTCTACCTTCCCACCTCTTGGCTAAGATGCTTCTTCCTTTTTGAAATTCAGATGCAAGCTTCTTTCTGTCCACTCCCTGTTTACTTCTTAGACTAAACTGTTTCCATGGTAACAGGTTACTTTTCAAAGGGAACATCTTGTCATTTTATTTAATCCACTGCAGCTGAAGAGAGCTGAAGTATTAAGTTGTAGTTGCTATGGATACTGCTTTGTTACATCTGTTTCTTTTGTATCAGATTTCATATACAATGAAATTTTTTTCTTTTGATACTAAAGAAGTAAACACAGTGACTTACCATCATTGTTGTAATTTGGCTTCTGTAACTGGTTAGCGTTTCATATCCCAGCCAAGGATTTGTAGAATAATAGAGGTTGAGGTCAGCTATTTTTCAAAACACATATAATTTATATTTTCTATATAGAGAAATTCTCTGTTCTGTGAAGGACAGTGATAGTTTTTAAAGAGTGAACATGAACACACACATACATGGTAAGTCTGATACACGGCATTTCAGGGTTTCCAATCATGAGGTTCCTAGGAAATAGAAGATGAAGAAGTCAGCAGGTAGTACTGAGAAGGCAGAGCCAGGGGATCATACGTTTGAGTCCAGTATGGATTACATAGGAACACATGCACGTGTGTGTGTGTGCGCTTCTTTCTGGGGTTTCTTGTCACTGTTTTAAGGTAGATGACTTGGAGTTGATCCTTCATTTACTTGTTTCCTTGCTTGCTTGCTTGCTCATTTTGGCTTTGGAGCTCACTTTGTAGATCAGGCTGGTCTCCAGCTTGGAGATCCACCTGCCTCAGCCTCTGGCATACTGGGATTAGTGTTTACCACCACCTCTAGCCTTGGAGTTGGTTCGTAAATGACTGGCACAGTCACTGGTTCACCTTGGCCGTAGTGCTAGAGACTGTGTCTTTGTTACTTAATGCCTCTCAGATCTAGCTTTCTTTCCTATTTTCAGTCTATTTGTAGCACATCTGCAGACTTTTTAAAAACTCTAGCTCCCACTAGGTGATGATGGTGCAGGACTTTAATCCCAGCACTCAAGAGTTGGAGGCCAGCCTGGTCAACAGAGAGAGTTCCAGGACAGCCAGGGCTACACAAAGAAACCCTGTCTCAGAAAAAAACACACAGAACTTTAGCTCTTTCAGATTTCATAGGTTGTTACAAAGACAGCACTGAGCAGCACCATAGAACCACAATCAAGGGAGCATACACATGTTTGGGAGGTGCATGCCTCTCTGTGTGCATGGGTGTGCTTGCACACGCTCACAGGCATGGCACAGACACTGTTTCAACACAGGTGTGACTGCTCCTACATCAGGATATACCTGCTGCCCCCTCAGAGCTCTCAGTCATGTTGCCCTTACCCTCCGTAGTTATCTCTCTCTCCATCCCAGCACCTGCAGTCACTGAGCTTTCTCCTTGTCAAGAAAGTTACACTGACACTAGTTTTTGTATGTGATTGATTTTTCTTTTAAATTTTATAATTAATTTTACATGCGTGGATCAAAATTGGGTCTCTCCTTTGATCATGTGTTCAAGCTTGGTGCACCTTTACCCACTGAGCCATTTTGTAGGGCCCTCACTTAAGAAATTTTTAAATTATTTTTGTATGTATTTGTTTGTAGACATGTGCATTTCATGATGCAGAGGTGGAGTCAAAGGATAAGTCTGCAGAGTTGATTCTCTTTGTACCATGTGAGAGTCCAAAAGATTATCAATAAAGATTTATGTGTTGACGCTGTTCACAAGCCTTTGTGTGGAACTTAAATTGGTGGTGCGGTGTTTGCCATCCTAGCAATAAAGCAAAACAGAAATCAAAACATTGCACAGCCTTTCAAATAGCATCTCTTGTTGTGTCTTGGTGTGGTACTAGAAAGATGACAAACGAGCATGGTGGCACAGGCGTGTGATGGTGACGCGCAGAGGCCTCGAGTTTGAGGCCAGGAGAAGTATTCAGACTGCCTCAAAAGCAGCAAATGTTTCTGCCTTCTCCAGTTACATGGCTGTGTGAGGCTGGGTTTTCTTCATCTAATTTAAAAATGACTGAACAGTAGAGGGGGGCAGTGGAATAAGTGGGATGTACCACCACATTGGGCTTCCAAGGTCAGTGCTGTTAACTGAACCCAGGTTTTCTGCAAGAGCACCAAGTGCTCATAGTCACTGAGCTGTCTCCTTAGACCCTCATTTTAATTTATAGTCTCACAGTTTTTCTGTCAAGCATATTTGGCTTTCTGAAATGGGACATGTTGCTTTCAGCTTCTTTGTATCTTTGACCTAAAATATATTAGGACTTTTGCTCAGTTGGTAGAAGGCTTACCTAGCATGCACAAAGCCCTGGATTCTACCCCTAGTAATGCACAAACTAGACTTGGTATATGCATTGCCTAATTTCAACACCCAAGAGGTGGAAACAGGAGCATCAGAAGTTTAAATGGTCTTTGGCCATAGCAGGTGTGAGGCTGGCCTGGACAATAGAAATAAAGACTGTCTGATGATGTTTTTCTAACGTTTAGTCTACATCATGCATTTCCTAGACATTGTAACTCTAACTCCTAGCTCCTGAGCTATCTCTTGTTTTGGAATGTTTGTTTGTTTGTTTGTTTGTTTGTTTGTTTGTTTGGCTTTGTGTACTTGAGAAAGTATTTCCCTGTGTAGGCCTAGTTCTTTGCACTTTAGATGTAGACCAGGCTGGCCTCAAATTCAGAAATCTGCCTGCCTCTGCCTCCCAAGTGTTGGAATTAGAGATAGGAGCCAGCACTACCTCGCTCTTTTGTAATTTCTTACAACACGGTTCCAGCAGGGCAGTGGCCGTGTACTACTTTAATCCCAGCACCCAGGAGGCAGGTGTGGGTGTAACTTAGAGTTCCAGGACAGCGAGGGCTACAGAGAGAAACCCTGCATGGGGGGGGGGTCCGCAGTCAGAATGGTTTTGTTGTAGAGCCAAAACTGTCCTCGAATTGTAAGAGAGGAGTCTTAGCCCCCTGAGTGCCAGGACTGCAGGTGTGCACCTTCATGCTCCCTCCTCGTTTTAGAGTTCAGAGGCTGTGTAGTTCCATAGGTGCTTGAGGGTTGTTTCACTTTGTGGCATTACTTTGGCACTGTGGGTGTTGGTGACAACAGAAAGTTTTCATAATTAACCATTAAGGAACCCTGAAATAGCAGACATTCTAGAATAAGCAGAAGATTAAGCTGTAGATGCAAGCCACCAGATAGGCTGTGGCTTAAGACTTCTGAGGTAGAATAGGTCTCAGCCGGAGCCACTTGTAGTCAGAAAAAGCACTTGGGAAATCTGGAAAGGCTTTGGCAGGCTTGTTTGCTTGTGGCTACGTAAGAAACAGAAACAGACGTGTTAGGATGGAAGTAGTGGTTTCACCAACTGAGAAAACAAGCAGTTAGGCTTGATATGGGTGGTGTACGCCTTTAATTCCAGCACTGCAGAGGCAGGCAGTTCTCTGCGATTCAGACCAGCCTCATTTACAGAGTGAGTTCCAGGTCATCTGGGGCTATACAGAGAAACCCTATCTCCCAAAACCAAAGCCAAACCAGGCAGCTACTTTTAGAAAATAGTTGTGACCTGACTGGTTTCATCCTTGACATACTTCTTGAAGCAGTTATCTTCTGCATAAACCTACTAGAATAGTGCATCTATAGGCTTCTGTGTCAAAAGGAAAGCAGGTGCCTATCCTAACAAAACGAGCCCTTTGTGTAAGTGCATCACCACCACAGCCTCCTTCTTGTCTGTCTGCCTCTGTTGTGCTGTTGTGTTTCTATTCCCTCATGAAATGCCCACCTTCTGCCTCGCTGTCTCCTTAAGAGGCATCTGGTCCACTCCAGGCTGAGGGACTGGGTTGTTACAGGGAAGGGGAGGGGAGGGCACAGGATGGACAAACAACATCAGATGGACAACTTTGCCACCTCAGGCAGGGATTGGTTGAGCTTTTGGGGTACATCTGTTTATCCCCACATGTTGTTGCAGCCCACGGAGGCCACGCTGGAAAACCATGCAGTGAAGTCACAAAGCAAGTCCCAGGGCTACCATTTTATGTTGGGCCATGGTCATGGCTGTCCTGGTTTGTGTGCAGCCTGTGGCAGCTGATTGGATATTGGAAGCCTGACTGATTCTCTTAACTTTTGTGAACTTTCTTCTGGAATGGATTATCTTATGTTCGTGATAATGATATCTGGGTCCTTTCTGGGCAGGGGATAGATACTACCCCCCTGCCAGGTACATTCTAAGAGTGTTTGGACTGGGACCCCATTTTTGTTGTTGCTGTTCTTACTGCCTTCTGTCCCTTTGTCATTGCTACTGATAGTCCACCCCCATCCCCACTTCCAAACAGTACTCTTGATGAGAAGATTTGTTGGAGTATCAGGAAAAACTGAGGCAGGGCATGTAGTTCAGTTGTAAGTGCTTCCCTGGCATGCATGGTCCTGAGTCTGGCTGTCAGGACAGATAGCCTGAGTATGGCGACAAATGCGTGGTTTTGTTGTTTGTAGAGATGGGGTTTCTCTGTAGCCCTGGCTGTCCTGAAACTTACTATGTAGACCAGGCTGGCCTCAGACTCACAGAACTCGACCTGCCTTTGCCTCTTTAGTGCTGGGATTAAAGGTGGGTGCCACCACCATCAGGCAGTGACACAAACTTGTAATCTCAGCCCTCAGGAAGGAAGGAAAGAAGATCACAAGTTCAAACTCCTCCTCACCTATATAGTGAGTGCTAGGAGGACAGCTGGGGTTTCATGGGAACATCCTGCCTCAGACAAATGGTATAGAAGATTAGAAGATTGCAGAAGAGGCCGCAGTCAGGTTCTCAGAATGAGAGGCTAAGGACATGTGCTTGTAAGCCTGCACAGCTGAAGCAGTGTTGGAAACAGTGGGGGAGTGCCCCTTGCCCCAGCCCCATGAAGGTGTCTCTCTGGGACTGGCTGCTCTGTGTCAGACAACTGTTAACCTTTTCTTCTCTTCACTACAGGAGGCTGAATAGTACCCAAGGAGAAATTCGAGTTGGCCCTAGCCATCAGGTAAAACATTTTTACTAACTTAATAAATGTTTATTTCCTGTTTCTGTGCTACATCTTAGAATGGTTATTGATATGGAGAAACCTCTAATTCTTTTTAAATGTGGAATTAAAGGTTTTGTGGGGTTCTGGGTTTTGTTTTTGTTTTTTGTATTTTTTGGTGTGTTGGGGGGGGATGTGTGTTTGCATGCATGTGTGAGATTGATGTGGAGTGAGTGTGCTCAATCTTCAGTCTTAAAGAATGTTAATTTTGAACCATAACTTAAATGTTAATAATAAGAAATAAGAAATTTTTAAAAAGATTAATTCTAGCACTCATGGGTCAGAGGCAGAAAAATCTCTGTACGTTGGAGGCCAGCCTGGTCTATAGAGAGAGTTCTGGGCCAGCCAGGGCTCCATAGTTGAAAGCCTATCTCAAAAATCAAATAAAAAGGACTGTAGAGCTCAGCCATTTTTTTTAAAGATATATTTATTATTTATACACTGTTCTGCCTGCATGCCAGAAGAAGGAACCAGATCTCTTGTAGATGGTTGTGAACCACCATGTGGTTGCTGGGAATTGAACTCAGGACCATCTGGAAGAATAACCAGTGCTCTTAACTGCTGAGCCATCTCTCCAGCTCAAGCTCAGCCGTTTTAAAGGGGATAGTTTAGTAACATTATGAACATGTCACTATTGTGCAGCATCACAGCCCCCATCTCTACAAGTTGTTTCTGAGAAGTTCTGTGATGCTGACACTCTATCCCCTAAAGTAGTAACTCCTCCTCTCCTTTTGCTCAGGCCTCCAGAGCCTCCTGTGTCAGTGTTTGACCATCATCATAGATGTGGAATTGTACAGTATTTGTCTTTTGTTACTGACTTACTTTGTTCTGAAATGTTCTCTGGGTTCATCCATGTTGTAGCATGTGCCAGTTCCCATTTTTAAAGGCTGAGTTATTCATTGCATGTCTGTATGTCACTGTTTGCTTATCTACTCATTCATTGATGAACATTTAGCTACTGTATAATTTAATTCAAAGATACTTTAGGGGTCTGGAGCTAGGATCTTCCAGAGGACCCAGGTTCATTGCCCGACACCCACCTTTGGCCAGCAACCATCTTTAACTCTAGTTCCAGGGGATCTGATGCCCTCTTCTGTCTTCTGTAGGCACCAGGCTCACATATCATGTGCGCGCACACACACACACACACACACACACACACACACACACACACACACAC